CCTGTAGAAAAGCCCGTGGAGAAAATCCAGAGGATTGAAGTCATCCCCAGACCTGTTCCTCAGAACCTCCATCAGCCCCGGATGTGCCCTTACCCCTTCATGCACCCTCCTTTCCAGCTCCCTCCCGTCCGTCCCCTGTACAACAACATCCCGCTCCACATCCGCCCTGTCCCTGCTCCCTACGTGCCCCCGTTACCCAACATGAGGGTGAACTTTGACTTCCCCCAGATCAACGCTCGGCGGGAGCACAACTTGCCTATGCACTTTGGCCCTCAGCCTCGCCAGCAGTTCTGACCTGCTTCAAACAGCACTTGACATAGTCACTGCAGGGCAAAGCCACCCTATCACGTCACCCCCCTTCCTTCTCCAGCTCCTCTTGGATTATCCAGCTGCCGGGGGATCCCTGGGTCGCCCGTCTTTGCACTGTATCCCTCTCTAGAGCTTCTCTGAACCTTTGCAGTCAAACGTTTCGAGCTGTGCTGCAACAGGCCTTGGTGCTGCATTTCCCAAGGGATCTCTCCCTGTGCTGGGCATCCAGGTGATTTTGATTTGACACAGCCTGTTCAGGCAGCTGTTGGGAGGGAAGGTGACACTTTGTGCAGTGCAGGGATGCAGCCATTCCTTGGGGACTTCCCAAATATCCTTCTTTCCTGCTGGCTGGAGCAGGTGCTGCACAAACAAGTGAGGCTGGGGGTGAAGAGGGAGACTTGCATCTGAGTAAGACCTTCAGGAGCAGCATAGCAGGAGCTGGCTGCCCTTCTGCCTGCAGGGAGGCACAAGGCTGATGTTCCCATGTTCTCCAGCATCCCTGTAACCCGCCGGCACCTCCCAACAGAACTACACTTTTCCATACCAAGTCAGTGAAGTGTTTTTAGCATTTCTCCCTCTCTAAGTGGGGTAATGGGATGCAGCAGCCATCTCACTGCTGAGATCTCAGTGGGAAGCCCAGAGCCATGTTCAGTCTCAGGGCTTTAGCGAGTAGCACAAGACTCAGGCACCCTGATCTTTGGCTGAACTGAACTTGCCCCCTTGAAAGGGCTCAGGACTTTTATCCCCACAGGAGGGTGGCTCAGCTTCCAAAACGTGGCCTTTGCTTTGCTGTTCCCATCTGACAGCCTGAACCTCGCCCTGCTTCTGGCCATGGTTCTCAAACAGCTGTCAAAGCACCCAGAGCCAAGCTGTGCCCATCATCACAAAAACTACTTGGGTTAAGACCCTGTTAGATACATAGGCAGTGCTGCAGGAAAACTGGGAATTACCCTTGCAGTGGTGCGTGCACTGCAGCTCTGTGTTGCAGGAAGCCTGCTGCTTCCATGGCACATGGGAACCCCTGACAGGGTGTGTTTCAGCCTGATCACTTTGGGAACAGCAAAGATGAGTATTGCTGGGCTTAGGAAGTGAGGGGTTAGGAACAGCAAAGCTTCCCTATGAGAAGCAAGGGCTGTAGGTGCTGGGCTGCAGAAGGAGTTTTGGCACAAAGCCCTTTCCTCACCTCTCTTTGGGTGCTCTGTCTGGTAGACATCCCCTCTAGAACAGATGGTTGGAGTGGATGAAATCCTCCCTCCCAGAAATGCTGGGCTAGCTTTCAGCATCCCATTGGTGCTGTCATTCCCTGGGTGGTTTGCTTTGGGCTTTGTCCTGCTGGGAACCCTCTGGGTGCCCTTCCAGTTATTCCCTGCTGTATTTGAGCATCCATCTTCTGGTTTCATTTGGGTTTCTTAGGTAAAACTCCCTGCCTCCACCTCGCAGCTTCTGCCCATCCCTTGCTTGCAGCTCTCTGTAAGTGCTTCATGCACAGCATCCCCTTGGGAGTGCAGCAAGTGGTGGGCTCAGGGCTGTCAGCGGGATGCTCGCAGCATAAGCCAGCGCCTGGGACAGCATCTGGAGGCCCCTGTCCCCAGCAGGCTCTCCCAAAGGGAATTTCCATGCCTTTTGCAGCTGAGTCAGCAATTTCTCCACTCTTGGGCATTGCCCATGGGTTGGACGTACCCTATGGGGTGCTCTGTTCCAGCTCTCGTGCCATGGTCTCTCTAGCATTAAGAACCAAGTGGTGTTCCCTTGCTGCTGTCATCTCTTCTTACTTACCATTCTCATCTTACTGCTCAGCTGGGGTTTGGCCAACTTTACATCCTGCCTTGCACCGAGTGATTCCTGTGGTAGCCAGGAGCAGCGTCCCATTGGATTTGGGGCAGCAGGGCTGTGTTCACAGCGTTAAGAGGTGGTGAGAAGATGGACCCAGGTCAGGAGAAGAATGGGTGCCTTCTCCTTACAGGAAGGATATCCTGTGTTGTTTCATTGCTGGGATTCTCTGTGCTCAAGTCTTGCATGAGCCCTTCAGGCTTCCCGAAGCGTGTTCCCTCCTGCAGCAGGGTGGTTGGGATTGTCCATTAATACCCACCTGTGCAAAGTGGGGGGGATCCTTTGGTGTGTGTCTGCGGATGTGTGGGCATCAGGAGTAAAGCCTTGGCACAGGGATGCGCAGAGGTGGAGCAAGAGGGATGGAGAGGCATCGGGCAGAGGTGGGAAGTATCTGTGGTCCATCCGTGTGGTTGGGACGTGGGGGTCCTCTGCTGCTGTGGCACAAACATCACGGACCTGGAGTTGCTTGATGGATGTAAGGGGAGAAAGCCTTGAGCTGGTGGTCTGTGTCTGAGAGAAGATGACTCAGTGCTTGGTGTCTGGTGCAGAGCTTTCTGATAGGGCTTGTGTTGATCTGTATGCAAACAGGAAGGGAAATAACCCCAAACCTTACTGCACCCCCCCAGATCCCTCCTGACGTGGTCTCCAACTCCTCCACCCCGTTTCCCTCCTGCCCTGCAGTCCTTGAAGCCATCCATCCTTCACAGGGTGGCAGGGAGGTGGCTGTGCCCAGAACAGGTACTTCTGGTTATAATCACAGTGTTCCGTTTTACTTGCCTTAAAGGTGGGAGAAGAGAAACTTTAGTATTTGCACTTAGCAAAACATTCTGTTAAAAGAAAGAAGCCCTGTAAAGATGTGCATGTTCTGCCTCTTTGTATAACAATAGCTGAAAAGAAATAGGTGTTTTATTAAAGAAACCAACCCAAACAAGGGATATTTTTCTTTACCTTCTGGTAGTTAGAACCATTCTAATATCCAGTGTGTAAAAAGTTCCTGTCTTATATTGTAATTTGAATTATTTTGTAAATAAATTTGTGCACTCTGACTTCTACCCTCTGTGCTCTTTATTCCAGCTGAAATACCATCATCATCATCCTCATCCTCATCCTCCTCCCATCCCGACTGTGCCAGCTCGATGCTGGGGCTAATGGCAGGCAGCAGAGCAGGCAGGGCTGTTGTGGTTGAGAACTCTGTAAGTCGCAAGGCAAAACCCATTGGACCCTCCAGGAAAAGCTTAATATATTCCACATGCTCCCGAGGAAAAAGTGGAGGGGATAGAAAATGGTTTCCAGGCACTCCTTTAAATGGAAACCAGGATGTGTGTGTTGAGGGGGAGGAAACAGGGGAGCTTTTCCCCCTCCTCGCTTGAAAGCAAAGGGGAATGTGTTGGTTGAGCAGGGAGAAGGGAAGGCTGAGGGTCCTCCTGCCTCCTGTGCAGGCTGGGTGTCACAGCCCATGGTTCCCTCGTGCCCATGCGGATGTCACTGGGGGTGAAGGTGCACAGGTGGTGATGGGAGCTGCTCCGTGTTTCCTGCGTTCATTCCACCCTGTTTAGAGTGAGAAATGAACATCCTTCCTCTGCTCCACCCCTGCTGTGGTGCTTGAACCCATGCCTGAAGTTGAAGGTCCCTCCAGGCAATGCCCTTCCCGCTGTGCCCATCGGGATGTGTGTTTAGGGGGGAGATGGGCACCCCCTCCTTTTCCCAAACCAGCTTTAGATGTGTGCAAGCCAAACAGCAGCCCATCAGTGGTCCTGAGCCTGCTGCAGGAGATGAAGGGCAGTGAAGGGACTGACTGCTTGTGGCACGGGTGATGGAGTTGATCCCCAGCCCCTCCATAAGCGTGTGCTGCACCCCATCTTGACAGCCAAAACTGAGGTTGGCCCCAGCATCAAACCCCAGAGGGCAGTTTGAGTTTTAGGGCTGGTTTTGACTGTCCCAAGAGGGCTGGGGGGGCAGCCTGGCCATCCCAGCTCCATTTGGATGCTGTGTTTCAGCCTGGGCTGCAGTGGATGGGCTTCCCACCTCCTTCCAGCCTGAGATCTCTTAGATCTTTTTCTATCTTCCCCTTTTCCACCCCACCAAGCAAAGGAAGAGGGGTCTTACCGCTTCCTCCGCCATGCCATGCATCCAAAACCAGCATCCCACTGCTCTTCCCTCCTAGCAGGTGCCTCCCCCTTAGGGGCATCATATGGGGGGTAAATACCTGAACCAGAGGGAAAAAAAGCAGCTCCGTCCCAGCACTGCCAGGCTGAGGGGTCACAGCATCGCTGCTGGTGTATGTCCCCAAGCCAGGCAGAGGTCACCCATCCTCTAAGGCACACAGGGGTTTGATGGCTTGGGGCTGCTCTGAGCATCTTTGGAGGTGACCCCAGCCCCAGTCAGCTTTGGCTGTCACAGACTGGTTTGGGTTGGAAGGGGCCTTAAAGCTCATCCAGCTCCAACCCCTGCCATGGGCAGGGACCCCTTCCACTAGAGCAGCTTGCTCCAAGCCCCTGTGTCCAACCTGGCCTTGAACACTGCCAGGGATGGGGCAGCCACAGCTTCTCTGGGCACCCTGTGCCAGCACCTCCTAATGTCTAATCTAAATCTTCTCTCTTTCACCTTAAAGCCATCCCCCCCCTTGTCTTACCCATCACACAGCCCATGGCCAGCCCTTACCCGTGGTGCATTTCCTGGCCAGGTAAGAATCCCCTTTAAACTGCTTGGTGGGGATGAGCCCTTTGGCCACCATTCCCTTCCCTCTAGAGCCAGCTCAGCCACAGCAAGGCAATCTAAGCCCCCAGATACTCCACGCTCAGACTCATGCCATGAAAATGCCCTTGCAGCTCCAGGCACAGCCACCAGACACACCAGGCACCTCTGTTTGTATCCGAATGCAGGTTTTATTTTTACTCATCTTTCTCCATTTGAAGCTCATTTTTTTCTTTTAAGTTATACAAATGGCACTTACAAAAAAATAATAATTAAGAAAAAAAAAAAAAAACAAAAAAAACAACCCCAAAATAAACCCCAAACCTTAACTTTTCAGAGTGAGATGTTTGTCAGAGAGTCACGACACCCACTACGAGGAGACAGGAGAGATGCTTGACCTAGTGTCACACAGAAGAAGCCAGAGCAGGATTTTACATGGTTCGAACTGCAACAGGGGGACGGGGAGGAGGTGACACAGGGCAAAGGGGAGGGGGGGTGAAGGCCAGCAGAAAGTGTGTGCCAAGTCACAGGGTCACTCAGGGCTTCATCAAGACACTCGGTCCTTCGAGGGGCAGAGCGGTGCCCGGGTGGGCGCAGGCAGCCCCTGGATGCGAGTGCAGAGCCGAGGTAGCATCCCAATGGGATCCCCTGCACCGGGGAGGGACCCCGGCCTGGGGTTGTCCCCGTGGCAGGGGACAGGCCACTCGCTCCCCCAGCTGAGAGGATAGCACCAAGCTCCTAGGGAGGGGGTTCCACCCTCCACATGGCTTTAAGGCTGAGGAGCCCCTGCCTTGCCTCCGGCGATAGGGACCGGTGATTTTGGCACGGCGGCGATGCCGTGAGCACCCTTGGTGTGGGGTGGCGGGGGGGGGGGGGGAAGGCTCCTTGGTGTGTTTGCAGGGAGCAAATACCGGCCCCGGGAAGGCCCCAAAGGATAAAGTGCCTTTCAACACCCTAACGAACACGTCAGCATCACCCGTTACAAACAGCGTTATACTCTAATGCAGACCTAGTACAGAGAACAGCTGGTAACACAGTGCCATGGAGAGCATATATAAATAGAGACTAACAAAAATACTGTTTTGGTCTTTCTCTTTTTCTTTTCCAGTTGAGTTGTGATGGCACGAGAGCCCAGGACCTGGAGCTGCCCTCCTCGGGGGAGCCCACAGGAGCGGGCGCTTCCCAATTCAGCATTAGGTGTGCAGTGATTCCCTTCACTGTTCCAGTATTTGACGAGAGAGAGAGAGAGGAAGGAAACAAGGTACTGAGCAAATATCACTGTGCAAAGTTTGCTAAGGAACTTCTCTATTCTGTAAACCAAAAGCTGCAGTTTATGCTTCCAGCCACCCCCCAGGGGAGGTTCCATCAGCCAGGGACCAAAGCCCACCGTGGGCTGGATGAAGCTCCCTACCCAGCACAGGCTTGCTCTGCATCCCCCTTACAGCATCCCCTCCCCAGCACAGCAGCAGGACCAGCCAGGCTGGACCCACCATTGGGGTCTGTGATGCTCCTCCAGAGGCAGAAGCACAAGGAGGGGCAGAGGGACACAAGGAGCGTGGGGCTCCACGAGATGAAAAGCTGAGGTTTTCCAGACGGGATCACCCTCAAAACTCATTTCCAGGTGTATGGGGAAGAAGGGAATCGGCTTGCTGGCCCTTCCACAGGGATACGTGCCATCCCGCGCCAGCCCCGGGGGTGCTGTGATATGTAAGGTCACCTCTTATGGCTCAGCTGGGGATGAATCCTACCCCGAAAGCCAGGAGCAAAGAGAAGCTGCTGGGGGGGGAGCTGGCTGAGCCCAGCACCATGGCTCTGCTCCTGGTTGGAATGGGGTGGGATGGGGTGAGTGCTCCAGGGGACACATCATTGGCAGCACAGACTGAAGCGGTGCCAGTGCTGATATGGCAGAAGCAAGCACAGAGGTGATCTTATTCCCTTTTTTCAACTGAGGAGAGGAAAATAAACTACCTAAGGTGATGTTTGGGGCCGGGAGCAGGGGGATGGCAGTTTCCAAGCCCAGCAAACCTGGAGGGAAAGGGGACAATACAAAGCTATAGGCTGCCCCAGCACTTTTCCAGTTCTCAATTCACAGAGCCCCACCTCCCCTGCCAAGGCACCAGCTCTGCAGTGGGAGGGGAGGACGAGCCAGCCGGAAAATCCTGGTACAGAGAGGAGGAAAACGAAACCCAAAAGGAAACCAAGGACGGAGGAGGGGGGGAATAATCAACGTTGGCAATGGGAGGTACGCTAAAGTGCATTAATATTCCCAGAGGGTGGAGGCGTCGATGGTGTCGGCGGATGCCTTGAGGACCCCGGCGTGGTCACCCTTCAGGTATTTGCCATTGATTTTGATGGCCACTTTGTTATAGTCGCAGAACTCAAAATAGAAGTCCACGGGGCTGTCGCTGCTGCTGGTGACGGACGACTCGCTCCCCACCATCCAGTACTTCCCAGTGGCATCTGCAGGCAGAGGGGACGAGGTGGCCCCGTGAGCCACCGCCCGGGCGCCAATGCCCGTGGCTTCCCACCCCGATACCCATCCCTAAGGACTCACCCTTGATGTTGTAGGCTCCGTCGTTGAACTCGAGCTGGAAGACGTCGTAGGAGGAGCGGTTGGAGTCCAGGGTGCCGGTGACCTTGCGGCAGCCGATGAAGCCGTGCTCGCCGCGGAGGACGATGATGGGCCGGTTGATCAGCTTCATCACGAAGTGCTCCGTCTCGCCTGTGGCAGAGGGGAAAGGGGCTGTGAGTGCATCCCCTGGGGGTGCAGAGCCTGGATTCCATGGCTGGCAGCAGGGAGGAGGGTGAGCTGCGCCCCACATCCGTTTCCCACCCACCCCATGGCACGTGAAAGCATCCCTCAGCATCACTTGGAAGAGGAGGCTGGCTCAGGGGGGACCTCATTCATCCTCTGCCACCCCAATATGGGATGGGGGTCCCCCAGGGGTGTCCCTTACCTGCTGTCTCCATGGAGGCCGCCAGCTGCCCGTTCTTCTTTGCTGTCACATACTTTCCATTGGCAGCTTTGAGGGTGATGCGCTTGTCGCACCACTCGATGTCGAAGTAGCAGCTCGCGTTCCTGCAGGGCATAGAGGGTGGTCAGCGGGATGAAAGGGATGGGGACCCTGCCAATGCCACCCTGGGAAGGGCCATGGATGGATTGGGAGACCCTGATTCAGTTCAGTTTTGCCACGTCATGGTGGCCATCCCGATGGGAAGCGGGCAGGAGGCAGGCAGCCAAAGGCACTTTGGTGTTTCAGCCTTGGTCAGTAGGGGGTTGTGCTGCAGGGAAAAGCATTTCAACAGCCCCAGCTGGCCGGGAAGGATTACGTGGCCTGAGGGACTTCTTGGGTGGCAAAGCCCCAATCCAGCCCCAGCTCTCCAGGGAATTCACTGCTTTTGCCAGGAGGTGTTTTGGGATGAGCGCCGAGGCTGGAAAATCCCCTTTGGATTCCCCTGGGAGATGCAGAGGGGTCCCTGACGCCCAGGACAGGGCACTCACTTTGTGGATGCGGTGGACTGGATGCCCCCGTTGGAGGTGAGGGTCCAGTACTTCCCAGTGTAGGTCCTGAAGGCGCATTTCTTGGTGTCCTTGTTGATCTCCAGCTGGTAGGTCTCCTGGTCACCCTCCTCATCCTGGTTGGCCGAGAGGTCCATCCCTGTGGGGCAGAGGCAGATGGAGGTTGGGGGTCCTGGAGGGGGACCGCATCCACCTCTGCATCCCAGGAACCCCAATTGAAAAGAGGCTCCTGCTCTTGGGGGGGCTTTGGTGCCTCCCAAATCTTCACGTGCATCCTCCTCCTGGCATTGGGGGGTCAAATCCAGGTTTCATTTGGTTACTCAAGTGTTAAGGCCATAAACCAGGGCTGAGCTGATGCAACCACGAGCTCCAGCTCGGGGCTCTCCGTCACGATTAAGCACCACGCTAAAACCAACTTAGATAATTCACCCAGGAAAGAGCTGTAGCTCTTGCCCTGGAGGTGACAGCCAGGTTATTCAATCCATTACCAGAGGCCACCTCACCACCTATGAATCCCCATTCGTGGCATGTTTAAGGACCGTGGCACTGGTTTTCATCCGTGCGTTGTCATAGCAGCCCATCGGAACCAGAGAGACCAGAGACAGCATCTGCCCTAGAGGTGGATGCAGCCCATCCTGGGGCCGCCAGCACACCTGCCCACAGGCACTGAGGCCAAGCAAACCTGCTTAGTCAGGCCCTGCAGGGCCAAATCCTCTCCGGAGCGCTCCAGCTTGGTGGATTTCTGCCTAAAAATGCTTTTGGGATGGGAGTCCAAGCGTGGAGCCAAAGCAAAGCTGCTGTGCTGAGATTTGGGAAGAGAGCTGGGGGGCATGGTCCTCAGCCCTGCTTCTCCCTGTCTTCCTATAGCTGGGATGAGTGGAATGAGCCCCAGAACCAGCTTTCTGCCCAAATCTGCCTTTTCCTAGAGGCAGGAACCTCCTCAATGTATTCAACCCCCTCAGCTGCTGAGATTTCACATCATGGTTGCTGGGATGCCTTCAGGACTACAGCCTTCATGGCCCTTCAGCACTGGGAAGCCCCCAGCAAGTCCCATCAACTGCACCCATCCATCTCCCTCCAGACACTTAGAAATGGAGATGCCTTCCCCCACATCCTGCAGACTCAGCTACCTGGCAGCTTCCCATGACCCCATCTGCATCTCCCAAACAAGCATCCCCATCCAGGGGCCCTCAGGGAGCAGCCTCTGCTTTGCATATCAGTCTCCCACCTTTCCCAAAGGGATTAGGGCTTTGAAGGCTTTGCTTTGTTGGCTGTAATCTTATCTCCCACGCTCAAAACTGTCCTTTGGCTGCTGCGCTGCTGCCTGTTCACAGCATCCCCTCTCCAACAAGCATCTTCCAGCACCTTCTATAGCTCCTGATGGACGTGGTGCTGCTTTGCTCCCTGGGTACCTGGGGCAGGTATCCCTGAGATATGGGGAGAGCCTGGGGGTGATGCTCTGTGCTGCAGAGCAGGATGGGGTGGGCTGGAGGCGAGCCTCCCGACACCATCCCTTCACCCCAAAGACCCCACCGTGGAGCACAATGAACCCACAATGAACCCCATTGCTGGGCAGTTGCCCACGCTCTCACCATGGGGCCGAGGTTTGGCTTTGCCTCTCAGGGCCTAGGGTCTGCCCCCCCCCCCCCCCCCAAAACCTGGTTTGGGTTACACCGAGTCAGCAGAAAGGAATGCAATTAGGGCAGGAGCAGCTTCAAAGGGCTGTAACTGAGCTGGAGCAGGGGGGATAGAGCCGGTGGGGTGGGAGGAACTGCCCTGGGACCATGGTGGGGGCAGGAGAGCGGTCCCCATGGCAGAGGACATTGGCTGTGCCCCCCCCATTGTGCAGCCCAGGGCTGTGGATGATGGAGCCGTGTTCTGTCCCCCCCCCTGCTCTCCCACAGCCGCAATCACTTTAATTACTGCTGGTGGTAAAGGCACAGTCTGGAGCCTGACCTTGATGAAGCTGCTAATTACAGCCGGGGGGGGGGGAAGGAGGAGGCACGTTTGTGCCCCACCACCCCGTAAATCCCAGTGTGGAATGGGAATGGGAGCACCCCATCTCCAGCATGGGGTTGCTGTGGGGGTCTTGGGGAGGATGCAGAGAGTGGGGCTGAGGTGCTTGTGTCCCCTTGGCTTCCCCAAACAAAGCCCCTGGGCTCAAGGTCCTTATGGAGCCAGGGATGGAGGGTGGGCAGGGGAGCATTCCCAACCTCTGACGAGGTTTCCAGCCACTGCCAACCGCTTGGCTTTGCAGGATCGATGCCCCCGGCCCTCACTGCTCTCCAGGCCGGGATGGAGGATGCACATGGAGGGCTGTGGGCACCTCAGAGCATGCGCTTCCCAAAGCTTGTCCATGTAAAGGAGCCACCGTCTGCAGCAGCTGTGCCACCTCCATGCCATGAGGAGCCACAGCCCCAGCGCGGGGGCATTTATGGCCTGTAGAAGTCTTACCCTCTCCATTAAACCCATGCAGGTGTCCTAGAGCAGTCCTGGGATGCTGATGAGACCCAGTGGGATGCTCCACGGAGAGGAAGACAAGAGCCTGGAGGACTATGGGCAACCCATGGGACAACCAGCTGGAGCTGCCCCATGGCCAGACCCAGGGGGGCAATTCCACGCAGTAGGAGCTGGTTTTCCATGGCTGGGAGCTGGCACCTTTCCCATATTCCAACTCCCCATAGGCCAAGAGGTTCCCTTTCAAAAACCCCATGGTTACGCCCCCAAAACCCCACGCCCACTGCACCAGCAGCACCCCACCACCCCTCCAAGCCCTCATGGGCAGGATTCGGGCCCCTGTGCCCAGCAGCCTTGGGGATGCTGCACCCAGCCCTGCCTGCACACGTCGGGTCTGGCCTCCCTGCAGGGTGCTGGCACCCACAACCCTGCACTGCTGCCTCACACGTGCTCCCAGACTCATCCCTTCCCTGCCCTCTGGATGGGCTTTTGCTGCACCCAGCTACGAATCCAAGCCTGGCTTTGCCTAAAAGCAGCAGCGCGGGGACCGAGCAGCTCCTCTGCAAAGGGGTCACAAAGGGGATGGCGCACGGATTCCCTGGAAAACCCACCCCTAATTCCTGATGGATTTAGGGTGGCTTCGTGGTACCCACACACACCCCCCCCCCCCCCCCAAGCAATTGGCATCACCGACATGAGCCACGCTGAAGCCAGCACTGACCCACCCCGTGCTGTGAGGGCTCTTGGCTTGGGAGCTGGGCTCCCATCGCCAGCCTGGCATGCCCAGGCGTGCTCCCCCTTTCCCAGGCCCCACTTCCCGAGATGCCTCTCTCCCATCCTCTCCCTGCCGGGGTGGGAGGCAGGCTCTCACCTCGCAGCGCTCGGGACCCTCGTGCCCACAAAGGGCCCTTTGTTGCCGCAGCCGGGGCTAGAAAGGAGCCATTGAGCCGGGCGGAGGCTGCGCTCCTTGTGCCCCGGCTCGGCTCCGTTGGAAGAGGCTGGCGCCCAACCCCGTGCCCCACACCCTGGGACTGGCCCTGTCGTGGTCCCTTGGTGCCCCGTGGGCAGGGGATGCTGACGCCGGCATCCCAGGGACAGGGAGCAGGCTCCAAGCCAGGAGCTGACTCGGCACTGTTGGGACAGCGCTATCCCAAGGCTGGACCAGCTCCAGCTCCCAGCCAGGGGAGCCACAGCAGCCTCATGGCCTCATCCCCACTGGGGACACAGACACCGCATCCCTGCTCCCTCCCTGCCTCCTCAAGCTGCCTTTTCCCATAAGCCTACGCCGAGCCGCAGCCGCTCCCCGCCTGCATCCCGCATCCCACATCCCTGCGGCCATCGGCACATCTGCCAGCAGCGCTTATCAGCGCGGCGAGGGCAAGGGCTGTCTGCAGCCGCTTCCTCCGGCCGCTGTTGTTCCGCCGCCTGCTCCATAACCTTGGGACAAGGCTCATTCCCGGCGGGAGAAGGGAAGGCAGCGGCTCCCAGCCTCTCGCTGCTGCCGGGCGGGAGGAACCGTGTGGAAACGGCTTCTGCAGCCAGAACGGACTCGAAGCGAAGGATGTGCAGCCCCAGCGCTATTTTGCTTGGAAAGGGGCCGGGCACAGCCCAGAGCCCCCTGTTGCTGGGGAGATTTGGATTCCCCCCCCCTTTTCCCTTTCCCTTCCCATCCCCCCCATCCTTCCCCATCACACAAAGCCGGCGGCTCCGCCAGCAGCAGCTCCCACCCATGGGGTCCGTCCCCCCGCCGCCCCATCGCGCACATCTCCCCCCACATCTGCTTTCCCCATCTCCGGTGACAAAGGGCTGCAGCAGCCCTTCCCCCCACGGCGCTGCGGCAGCCTCCCGCCATCCCCCCGCCATCGCCATCCTCCTCCTTCCCTTCCTCCATCCTCCATCCTCCTCCTCCTCCTTCCCCATCCCCCTGCACGAGCGGTCCCAAGGGTTCATCTTTCCCCTCCCTAAGGGGCTGCTTCGCTCTCGGGAAGGAGAAACCCGATTGGGGTCCCTGCGAGGCGCTGCCCGGGCACAGGCAGGGGTCAAGCTGCGACTTTGGGGTGCTCCATTGGCACAAAAGAGATTCCCCGCTCCTCGCTCCCCGCCCCAGGCTCCGGGACGTGCTCGCACCCATCCCGCGCCCGGCGTGCGCCGGCCTGACCCGGCGCGCCGGTGATGGGCCCCAGGGCACCTCCAGCATCGCGGAGCGGGGAACCCCCGCCCCGGTCCTGCACAAGCACCCATGGGGCTGGGGAGGGGGGAGGATGCTCATGGGTGCTGGGAGACGGGGGGGTGGCCCTGTGCCGCCATGGCCTCTCCAGCGGGGATCGGCTGCCTTTGTGCGGGTGGATGCAGGATGGGGCCAGGGGGTGGGTGGCATCCAGCCCCCTCCCACCGGGAACGCAGCCCTATGGGGGGCACTGCAGCCTCCCCAGGCCCTGATCTGCAGGGCACAAAGCTCAGCGGCGCTGGGGGAAGGAGGGGAAAAGGGGGAGTTTGGAGGAGGCTTTGTTGGGTGAACAATGAGCTCCGCAGGTAGGAAGGCGAGGGATGGCTGCTCTGCCTCCTTCACGGCAAGGGAAGACCCCATGCGCTGCCCTACAGCCCCCCCCCCCATCCATCTCTGCACCCCAACCAGGCCCCTCACCATTCCGACCCACAGGGCAGAGGGGATGCTGCAGGGATGGGGGTGCTGGAGGAAGGGGGTGCCCAGACAGGCGATGCTGGAGGGGTGCTGGGCAAGACAACGATTTCAGAGGAGGGGTGCAGGGACGTCTGTAAGAGGGGGTTCAATCAAAGAGGGTTGTCCCTAAAGGGGCGATGGTGCGGGGATGCAGAGAGATGCAGCTCCATGGGGTTGGAGGCAGGGGATGCTGCCGAGATGGGGGGCTCCTTGGGGCTCACACCGAGGTGCTGATCCCGGGTCAGAGCAGGGGCTGCGGAGGAGGTGATGCCCGAGGGATGCAGGGCGGCGGCCGAGGTTCGCGTGTGTGTGTATCCCCCGTCCCCTCCTACCTTGCCGGGTGGAGACGTTCCTGTCGTTGCCGGCTCGGAGCACGACCTGCGGGCAGCTCTGCTCGAGGGCGAAGAGCTCGTCCTTGCCCACCTTAGCGCTTTTGCCGGCCTTGAGGGTGCCGCTGGGTCCCGAGGGGGCCAGGTAGCGGCCCTCCCCGTCGCGAAAGGCCACCTTGCCGCAGCGGAACTCGAGGGTGAAGGCGGTGCCGGGCTCGGCGGCGGGGACGAGGCGGCCGTCGGAGCGCAGGAGGCGGTGGTCGCAGCTCTGCAGGCTGTAGCGCTGCTCCACGAAGAGCAGCGTGATGAGGGCATCCACTCCCCACGGCACATCGCGGTCCACGGCCAGCTCGTCGCGGCGGGGCCCGAGGTGAGCGTAGCGCTTGCGGGCCAGGCTGTAGAGGTTGGCCTGGGGGTGCATGGCCAAGTGGACGCTCCACTTCTCGGTAGCCGAGACGGCGGGGGCGAAGCAGGAGAGCCGGTCCTCGGTGCCGCCGAAGAAGCGGCGGTGGGGCTCGGACTGCAGCGACCAGCGCCCGTCGCCGTGAGCTACCACCAAGAAGCGACAGTCGGGGCCCGGCTCCTCGCTGTCGCAGCTCACCCGCCCGTCCTTATCGGCCGCCAGGTACCGGCCGAGGTGGCTCTTGAGCAGCACGGCGCTGGAGTCCTCCCCGTCCTGCTCCAGCGTCCAGATCTGCTTCTTCTTCATGCTGGCGGCCGAGGCGTTCACCTTGAAGCCGAACGCCTCCGCCGTCAGGTACTTGTTGCTGCAGTTGATGAGCCCGAACTGGATCTGCACCGGCTCCGCCGTCCCGTTCGCCGTCATCCTGACCCTGCTGCCGCCGCCACCGACCGCCGCTGCCGCCGCGCCCGCCCCGACGCCGCCTTTATAGGGCGGCCGCCTCGGTACCGCCTCCCTCCTACCCCCTGCAGACCGGCGGGGCCGCCCCCCCTCCCCGCAGCATCCAGACTCTTCCCGTGCATCCGGAGCCCCTCCAGCTGCAGGACACGCACACCCCATTGGGACACCCCATTGGGGCTCCACATTGGGACACCCCATTGGGACACTCCATTGGAACACCCCATTGGGGCTCCACATTGGGACACCCCGTTGGGACACCCCGTCGGGACACCCCATTGGGGCACCCCATTGGGACACCACATTGGGACACCCCATTGGGGCACCCCATTGGGAAACCCCATTGGGGCACCTCATTGCATGGGAAGACTCCTCCCCACATTCCAAAAGCCCCCTTGAATTGCAGGACCATCCCCTATTGCAGGCCCTCGCTACACAAGACCCTTCCCTGTGTTACAAAAGCCCCCTCAAACTGCAGGACCCCCCCTTGAATTGCAGGACCACCCCCATGCACTGCAAGACCCCTTGGCATGGCAAGATCCTTCCCTGCATGTCAAAAGCCCCCTTGAATAAAAGACCCCCCCTGCACGCTGCACGACCCTCACTGGGTAACAAGACCCATCCTTGCATAGGAAGAGCCCTGTTGAACTGCAGGACACCCCCTCCCCATTATAAGCCCACCCCCTTGAACTGCAAGTCCCCCTCCTGCATTGCAAGAACTCCTTCTGCATCTCAGGTCCCCATCCCACCCCAAGACACTGCCAGACCCCCCTGCATCCCTCCGTGCCGTTGGCCACAGTGCAGGGCTCTAGGGCAGAAGGGAATAAGGATGAGAGGATGCCCCCATCACCTCTGAGCCATCCCAGCGCCCTGTGCCAGGCACCAGTCAGGCTGGAGCATCCGTGCCCTAGGGAATCCGGATTCCTGCGGCAAAGCCAGAGGCAAACCAGGGCACTCCTGTGCAAGGGTGTAGGTGAGCAGCACTGCTGTGTACGTGTGAGTCCATGGCACGTATGGCAGGGCTGGCCCCAGGACGGGAAGGGACCAGCATGGGGAGAGCCGGCTGTGCTGCTCCTTAGGGACAGGGATGCTTCTCCTGTCTGTAACATGGGAACACAGATGAACAGGAGCAGATGTGAAGCTCTTGCAGCAGGAGAAACGGGCAGAAACAGAGAAACGGGAGGAAAAGGGATGGGGGGGGGGGGGGCACAGGGGATGGTTTCCAGCTGGAGCAGGGATCTGAACCTGCCCCAACCAAAGTGGGACAAGGGAAGAGCCGGAGCACGGGGTGGGTTGCAGGGTGCCACAGCGCGCACCCAGGGCTGGCTGGCACAAAGACTGCTCCCACCTCCCGATGCCCTCAAGGCTCCACTGGTTCTGCACTGGCCATACTGGTTGGAGCCCCTGGTGCACCACAACCACCCCGGGGCAAAGCTGCGTGCTCAGGATGGGGTCTGGATGCCTCATCCAGCCCTGCTCTGTGCTCGGGCTTGTGAATGCAGACACACCAATAGCAACCAAACCCAACCCCACAGCCTCCGAGCTGGGCTGGAAATGAACCCCTCACATCCAGCAGATCCGTGTTTGTCTCACAAACCCCCTTCTGCTCCTCTTGCTGTTAGGACCCGGCCATGAGGCCAAGCAGCTGCTGGGATCTGCCTGCAGCAGGCAGATGGTGGCGAGGCTGGGAAAGAAACGGCTTTTCTGTGTGCGAGATAACCCAGCAATTATCCAGGGATAGAATAACCCGTCCTGTCCCGTCCCCAGCGCCCGCAGCGCTGCACTGACATCCCCAGGCTGGCACTGCCTGCCTCATGGAAGTGGGCATCCTGCCCGCACCCAGCCTGCCTGCACCCCATGCAGCCAGGCACGGGGGTCTAAGCCATCCCCACACATCACTGTGGTGGCAAAGGGGGGACAGTGTCGTCGTCGTCGTCGTCCCCCCCCGGGATAAGGATGCAGCAGCCAAATTCACGCCTCCCGAGGGCATCCGTGCGTGCGGGAGCGCTGGGGCAGGGAGGAGGGCGCTGGGTTTCCCTCTCCGCATTGCACGGCAGTGATTTAATGCGTTTGAGGTCACCCCTCCCACCGCCGCTCCCCATGGAAACCCAATCCCAGCGCACGGCATCCATGACAAGGGCTCTCCGGAGCACGGATGCGTCCCCTCCGCAGGGGCTGCCTGGGTCACCCGCTGGGCCTTCAAACGAACCCCGGCTCCAAAAGAGAGAAGGAGCCTTGGTCATGGGGTGTCCCTGGTCGTGCCTGCCTTCGGGAATGCCCTTGGATTCGCCTGGATGCCCTTGGATGCTCCTCGGCTTCGTCTGAGAGTGATCCTGGGGCTTTTAGTTCACGAAATGGGGTTTGAACACGGAGCTGGTGCCAACAGCAGGCACAAGGGGCTTGGAGGGGGCAGAAGCAGCGCACGGTGAAGAGGTGCAGGGGTGCAATGGGTTGTTCCATCCCCGTGTCCTCCAATGGGGACACCCTGGGTGCCAGGGCAGGTGGAGGCAGAGGGACCAGATGAGGTGAGGGGATGCTTTGGGCTGTCCCCATCCTTCTCCTCACACACACACAGCCCCTTGGGGCATGGCTGTGTCATGGGGTGTCTGGAGCTGGTGTCACCCCTTGGAGCATGGGTATCCTCTGCCTTCAGCTGCCTTGCACTCATAGGTACCCCCTTCACCCCATGGAAGGGCATGGCAGAGATTGAGGACCGCAACTGCTGGGTGGCCACCATCTCTCCAGCCACCTCCATCCCCAGCCAGGACAGGGTCTGGTGACACCAGGAGCCCTTGTGCAGGACGGGGTGACCTTGGTGCCTAAACCACCCAGCGATGGGGACCACTGCACCCCAAGTGCAGGCCCAGCATCCTGCCTGGAGGCTGCATCTTCCCAGAGTCCCCAGGGTGTCCCTGGCCATGGGGGGCCATGGGGACACCCCGGCCTTGCTGCCATATGCCAGCAGGCCCTGAGCAGAGGCTCTCCAGCAACAATCCCGACAGTTGGCAGGCGCCTGCCCTCATTAAAATTGCATTAGGCTGCATTTAACAGAGAAGCAGCAGCACAGCACAGGGGAGAACAAAGGGCGGCCCCAAGAGAGGGGCTCGGAGCAGCAGATCATGCTCCGGGGCAGTTTTCCCATGGGATGCTGCCTCAAGAGGGCTTGTTTAGCACCAGGAGTACGGAAGCAAGGGATAGCGCTGGAGCATCACTGAGGCTCAGATGTGTCCCTGTATCCTATGGCTATCAGGAGAGGTGATGGTACAGGTTGTGGTGCCTGCTCGGTGCTTTATTAGCTGGGTTTATCCCATTAACCTGATTTGATTACATCCCGAGAGCAATAAGGGATGGGAATGCTGGAACACCCCGTTCCAAGGAGTTCAGGTGTTGGGCACAGGCAAGGCTCAAACAAATGAAGGAGGAAATGGGACAGGAAAGCACACACACGGCCGGGTCTGGGTCCGTGTTGAGGCTTTGTCCCTCTCTTCCTGCTCCCGTTTGTTTTCTGGTGTGGTTTTTACATTACCAGAGGCTAAAGTGAAAACCTTCCCCCCTGAGGACCCTGCGGAGGTGGGAAGGGGGCCGGAGCCTGGTTCATCCAGCAGGAGAATGAGTTGTGTAGGGAAAGCTTAAAAGACCTTTAGTGATGGGGATGAACCTCAGTGATGGGGATGATGCTGCCTGGTCCCTGGGGGCTCTGCTTGGCCGTGAGGCACCCATAGCCCCACGGAAGTGCCCAGGTGAGAGAGGTTTGGTCCAGGTCTGGGTCAGTCCATGGCAGCAGGAGGGTGATGCCAGTGGAAACCAACAGTGCCCAGAGGTGCAATGAGCACCCACCAGCCGGGACCCAGCCCCACAGCGCACATCCTTGTTTCTATCCCCGCCGCAGCCCGGAGCCAGGAATCCGCAGGGAAGCAGAAAGTGAGTGATCAGCATCTGCCCACACAGCGCTCCAAAATAACCCAGCGCCAGGAGGAGCAGGTGACTCAGCTTGCGACAGCAGCTCCCTTCTGCTCCCATCTCCTCCCTTGGCCATGCCCTCATCCATGCTTCCCACTGCAGCGGGTGCACTGTGCCCGATACACAGCCCCAGAGCTGCCTCTGCCCACGGCTTCAATGGGGCTCCTGAAGGGGTTGGTGGGTGAGGAATGGCACTGCTTGAACCCAAACCCACAGCGTGCCAAAGAAGGGGGTGTGAGCATGGCTGGGATGGTGGTTCCATCGCTGGTGCAACCCCACTGCCATCAGACACAAGGCATGGAATGGATGCATGGACACCTTGCAGCATCCCCTCGGGGGCTGCACCCATTGGTACCCAAGTTTGTGTTCAAACCCCTCCCATAGGGTGAGGGCTGAGGATCAGCCTGGAGAGAACTCCAAAACCAAATGCCAACAGGACCAGGAGGTTCCATCCTGACACCCCCAGAGCAAGGGGCCCATCTCTTCAGGGATGAGGTAGCAGCAATAGGAGCAGTAACAGCAGCCAGCTGGGAAGCCCCAGGGGATCCTATAAAGGGTTGAGAGGGGAAGGGAGGGGGCTTTAGCAGGCTGTGGCTTGGAGAGAAGGTGAGGGGGTTGTTGATGGAGGGATAGGGGCATCCTGGGGTGGGATGCAGGGCAGCAGCAGCGCATGCACCCATAGCTGCAGTGGGGAGCACTGGGGTGGGGGGCAGCTGGGGTTTTGGCCTAGGGAATGGGCTGGAAGCAGTGCTTTGAGGCTGGAGGAGGGGACCTCCCTACTCAGGCATGGCCCACACCAGCTGTGCCTTCCCGGGCCCGGAGATCCCCTTCCAGATGGATAACTCCATTGTCCACGGTGAAAACAGCCCATTAGCCAGGATTAGGAATGGGGCCTTCGGGGATTAGCCCTGCACCTCCCACCCGGCCCTCTCCTGCTTCCCGGGATGCTGGGCTAGGCTGGGCCATCTCTGCCTCCTTGGGGCACCGCGTCCCCTGGTCTTGGATGCAGGAGGGAATGGGGCTCCTGTAGAGCAATGAGGGAGCTGATGGGAAGGG